TGACGGAATAAATATACAACTTTGCACAAACTACAAGGTTTTCTTCTATTGAGAAATGTCCACATACGCATCTGTATAGATGCTATATTTATGGGATGAATGAATATTTTAGCACAGATTAAAATTCACAACAAGCTAGAATACTGCATTTTTATTTAATTTTTGTTTATCAAATTATGCATATACCCGAATTCAAATCTTTCATACGACTAGGCTAATTATTCTTATAAAAATGTAGGTCATTTTCATCATAAGAATCTGATAAAAAACCTCATTTACTAATGAGCTAGCAACTTTGAAGTGTACTTAAGAAAACCGCTGCGTCGAAGAAAAACTGTATACCCATATCTATATACTATTATAATAAAGCGTAAACACACACTTCTTTGTTGCCTAAGATGTCAGCAATTACAGCATATTTTTGAATAACTCTTTATTTAATAAAAAAACCCTACACCTACGTCAAGATTTAGGCTATAAATTTTCACGTCATTAAACTTAGAGGGTAAATATTTTGGATAAAAACCCTAATGTGGAAAAGAGACCATAAGTTGCTGCCAACATCAAGAAAGCAAGGTTGTCATCATGTCATGTCATTTTGACATTTGCTATTGATAATTTGACAAATGTAAACAATGAAATAAAATTTTCACAATTTCATGCGGATGACGCCGCGCGGGAACAGCTAGTATAAGTATATTTTATAGCTACTGAAAACTGTCGCCGATCACATACAAGAGTCATTTGGCAATTTGATTGCTTCGTCTGGAAAGGGCCTAAAATCAAGAAAATTATCAATAGATTACCCAAACACTTTGTATGGCCAAACACATGCCGTTAGAATTCAAACAGATTAAAATCGCAGACTTAATGGAACTTCCGAGTTGGAATTTGAAATTCCAATCCAGTTAGACTAGGAGAACCTATGCCTACACAAAATAAACGAATTAACTAATGGAAAAATAACGGAAACAAGTCAATTTTAGTTATTGAAACCAATATTTGAAACAAAACGAGAGTTTCATTTCATTTTTAATCATTAAACCTAATTTTAGTCCCTTTCCCTTTCCACTCTTTTCTTAAGAGGATAGGATGGGAAGGAAAAGAGGATTTGACAGTGGAGGAGACGCATAGGTAGGGGAAATATCCTCTTTATGTGCATCTTTTCCGTCAATTAAGGGAAGGCAACGCATCTGCAATTGCGGATGTTTATGGGCAGCGATCGCTTTCCATTTCGGTGGATTCAGGTGGCCGTTTGCTCGTTTGCCACCTTATATTATAAAAAAAAAATTCTATACAGATAATTAAAGCTTATATTTAATAGAAATAAAATATATGACTGAAATGTATAATATTAAAATAGGCACTTAACAACGCTATATTGTTGTGGGACCGGCAGACATTCGATAGAAATATAAAAATCCTTTTAATTCTACATCGTAACTCAATTTGCGGCTCAGAATGTACAATGTACGTAAAATGTGCACTTTCCACGCTATTGTAGCGCTAAGTAGGGTAAAAAGCGAGGGAATAACTAAGTCAACAAAATGGACGCCTTCCTTCTACCTTTGTACCAATGTGCGTCATCATAAATCAAGGGGTTGCTGCGCACCCACCAATAAACAGGGTTATATTATATCTATACCAATATAAACAGGAAAACTATGTTTGTTTGATTGTAATGAATAGGCTCAAAAACTACTGGGCCGATTTCAAAAATTCTTTCACCGTTAGAAACGTAATTTAACTGTAAGTAACATAGGCTATAGGTATCATTTCTTTTGACGGACGGATTCGCGGGCAAAACCTAGTAGTTTATATTTCACCATCACTAAGTCTATTGTTCTTATAACACGCGAGCTGTTTCCGTGCGGCTTCATCCGCATGAAATTATGAAAATTTGGTTTTAATGTTTTATTTTTTTAATTATCAATAGCAAA